GATAATAAGTCAGCTGTCGAAGTAATTTACATTGATAATCGCAGCTCCGAAGATTTTTTTTCACGTTAGTGCTATATAGAGCTCGCTCGAGTGTGAATGTGAGTTCATTGGGAGGCTTGCTGGCAAAGGAAAAATAAAATATTTTCTACTGTTTTTTATGAAAAGCTTTTCTACCTCTCAGATGAGCTCAAGATGCGATCCGGAAATAATGAAGTGGAGCAGATTGGCAATGTTGGGCCTTATGGTGGCAATAGTGAAAGTGAGGAAAAGGAAGGAGAAGCGGCTACGGTTGGCAGTGGCAGTAAGTCTACTGTCGCACTTTACATTGAAAATTGTACTTTCAAACTATTTTTTATATTAGTGCTGGGATACGCTTAAGTGTTTATGTGATTTCGTAAGTAAGTCTGTCAGCAAACAAAAAATTCTAGGGGGATATTAAATATTTTTCATTATTTTCTCATGAGTAGTTTATCATCCTTATAGACGAGCATATTATGCGATACGGAAATAGTGAAGAGGAACAGGCTAGCAACATTGTGCCTTCTGCTGGCAATAATGAATGTGAGGAAAAAGACGGAGAAACGGGTTTGATTGGCAGTAATGGTAAGTCGACTATAATATTTTACATTAAGAATTGCTCGTGCAGGTGAATTTCTGCCACAGCGCAGGAGCTCTCGCAAATGCGGGTGTGAAAACGTAAATATATTGTCAGCAAACAAAAAAAAANAAAAAAAAATCAAGGAAAACTTCGAAAACTCGCAAGGCGAGCCAATTTCATTTGACTGAATTCCAACTGATCGCAAAGCAATTTGCCGCTGCAGTAGATAATCTCCGTTATTTGTTTATTGTAGCTGCTACGCTGGGATTTTCGTATAAAAATTATTATCAGGAGGTGACAGCGACAGAAAGACTGATGATTCGAAGATGAAGGGGATTGGTATTAGATTTTTTAGGCGGTTTTTCGAGGTAATTTTTGAACAGCTCGTGATACTCATTGAAGTATCACGAGGTTTTTCGAGTTGTTTCAAAATTTTTTAAATATGAAGAAGAATTTTGTAGTGCATTATGCTAACAGTTCGCAAGTTCGCTTTTAATTTGATAAGGTATGACGGAAAAAACTTTAAGCTTTGCGGGGGCCCAAGTACGAATCCCTGCTCATGCTACCAATAGGAAGTTTTCTCAAGGGATAACGTACCGGTACACAGCTAGCTTTGGTAATTTTTTACAATTTGTGGGTCGGACGATGAGCAAGTATAATGTCAGTCTACTTCTACTATGGCGGCTCTGATAAACTAAGCATGTTCAACTTCATATGTGGGCTCAAGAGGCAAAAAAATATCACGACTGAATTGTCAGCTGCTCTTTATTGAATAGGTTAAGGAAGGCAAACAAGATGGCAACTTATCCATAAATTGAGATAATTTTGCGATTTTTCTAATCGTATCATAGTAAGAGACAGTACTGGCAGGTGCTCAAAAGAAGCAATGTACCACACCGATGAATTCATCAATGGAGGAAAAATACGTTCTTGAGGAGGTAGTTTTTTTATGTCATTCGGAAGAATGGATGCAGTGTATGGAAATAATTTGAATGTATGAAAATAATAAACTAATTTGCAATAGCATACAACGATGAATATTTTGTTGGAGAATGTCAAGAAGAAAGCAGAAGCTTCATTGCCTGAATCGCCCTCAGCTACAAGTTCGAAGAAAATATCATCGTCGAATGAGGACATAATGGAGTATTTGCTGAAGAATCAGATTTTGAAGCACGAACTTTTGCTGAAGAANCAGAAGCTTCATTGCCTTAATCGCCCTCAGCTACAACTTCGAAGAAAATATCATCGTCGAATGAGGACATAATGGAGTATTTGCTGAAGAATCAGATTTTGAAGCACGAACTTTTGCTGAAGAAATGTCGGCTGGCGGATCTCCAAATTGAGTACTTAACCAGACAGTTAAGACATGGATCTCAAGAGTGAAGAAACAACGAGAAAACTCAGGCAAGGCTATACCTATTGTACTCACATGTTGTCCTACTAGTTTGGCAACTAAGTAAGTGCGATTTTTCGAGCACTTCAAACATTAATCTCATGTGGTAAGTACCAATTTTCAGAGAAATTCATTCGTACTTATGAAACAGGTACGTTAGTATTTATGATCAGTTTATAATTGGATAAGCAAACATTCTTTTACAAAAAGCAATTATAATTCCCTAAAACATGCGCACTTACTCAACTGACAAACTAATATTGGCTCCTTCGGATTTGTACCAACCTTGAATTGCTTACAGATAGCTTTGAAGTGACGGATACATTTGGTGCCTTCTTGCGCAGTGTAAACGATAAATGGAAAATCAGAATGGGAACCCGTTGTCATTGCTCAGTCACCTTAACTGTGAAGTGCTTAGCAATTGAGTAGAGTTGTTCATGTGCGGTTTCGACGGACACTTTTGGTTGTTTAAGCTCGTGTATGTATTGGGTTGTAACATAAGTTCGTAGAGTTTTGCGTTAGAGTTATTTTACAATGAGTTATTTTGTTATTTAGCAAAGTGTATACATTCATTTGAAAGAGCTCTTTCTCCTCTACAAAACTGTTTTATTCGTTTTTAGGATAATTAAATTGTTCGACTTTTTTCGGGCTCAGAAATGGAATATCCAGGAAGAAAAATTTAGCATTTTCGACATCTGCTTTTCTATGCTTCTCGTCGAGGTCAAAAGAGCAGTCGAAACCGCTCGGGACATATGCAGTGTGTACGGGAAAGGTGTCTTAGGGGTGTCTACTGAATGGTGTGGGTGGCCCCAGGGAAGGCGCCACAGCCGAGAGTCAAGCAAGATCTTCACCCAAAAAATGGTCATGATCTGCGTTTGGTGGGACCGGGTAGCCATGGTGCACTGGGAAACTGCTCGAACGAAACGCCACTGTCAACAAGGAGGTCTACATTACCCAGCTGAACAGAGTAAATGAGGCTATTCGGCTGAAAAGACCTTATAGAGGTGGTCAAGTCATCTTGCTCCACGACAACACCAGGCCCCATATTGCTCAAGTCGTCAAAACAACACCCCAAGAGCTTGAATGGGAGGTTCCTCAGCATCCACCGCACTCTCCGGATCTTGCACCTGCCGACTATCACCTTTTCCGCTCTATGTTAAACCCAATGAGGGGTGTTACCTTCGATGGCGAAGGGGACCTTAAAAACTGGCTCAACAAATTCNTCAACACCACAACGACCGATTTTCGGCGAATCGCCAACAACAAATTGGTCGAGAGATGGGAAGAGGTCGTGAACAGTAACGGAGGATACATCATTGGTTAATTTATTATTATAATTATTGTTTTTTGGTTCAGATAAATCTTTGTGAAAAAACTCTACGAACGTATGTTACAACCCAATACTTCTATCAACCCATTTCTTGCAATTTAAGAGAGAGCAATAAATATTTATGATCGCCGGCTTACAAGTTGAAAAGATTGTTTTGTCATGCAGCTGGTACTTTTCAAATGTCTACGTAATGGAATCATTGAAAGATTTATTTTAAAACCATTCTGTGAAAATGTCTTTCCATGGAAAAAAAAATTTACTGACTTGGATATAACAGTAAAGGACCTTAATGACCACGTTCATAACATAAAGATGTTACATCCAGTTATTAGTGACGGTCATCTTTTTGCAAAGGAAAAGGGCATCAAAAAATGTATCACGAAGTGGTCCAATGAACAAATAGAGATAGGGAACGATATGGTGTTTTAGAAGCCAGCTGTGGCTTACCACGAATCATGTAGGATACCAGCGATTTCAGCGCAAATCTATTTTCGAGGAAAAAGCAGAACGGGATGTATTAACTTGTTTTTTACTAATTCAACTGTGCTTAGCTCTAGTATACGGGCAGTTAGAAAAATGGAGAACCTGGAGGAGCGTAAACGAGCTCGGTTGGTTTTGGTGCCAGTGAACTTTGGTATAGCTCACGTCACATTGTTCCGTTTCGTTTTATCAAATGTTTTCTTTGAATGGTTGTTTGCAGTGATAGCTCAAGTCAGCTTTAACCATCGAGCGGCTCCAGACTCGTCAACGATTCTGGGAGGTGGAAGGTCTCGTTGGCTTGAGCGAGCTCGGATTCGAGATTGGACTTCGACGACCACATTGAGGCAGCGGTGCTCTTAGAAACCACCTCATCATTTCAAGTGAGTTCTTTGACTTGCTGAATCAAGCATAGGGTGACTTCATAGTAATATATTTTGTTTTTCCTTACAAAATGGTTCAATTGTTTCGGCATGCTATTTTTTCAATCCTGTGTTTCAACTTTTTTTTTGAGAGCGAAATTCTCTTTGAATAGCGAATATTCAACAGTAACTGACAGACAGAAACGTTCTTCATTGCACCAATCAACCACTAACGAGAAAATAATTTGCGTGCTCTCTTTCATGCCCGACAAAATGCTTTAGCCAATACCTAGCAATAGGGATCATTGGATAAGTCAAACATAGGTAATAATTCCTGTATGAAATACCCTTGATGGCTGA